CATACCGGCCTGGTCTCCTAGCCTTTATTCTATCTTTTTTTCCTTTTTCTTGGTTTGGATGTTTAAGATGTATCTATTTTTTAGGTTAGTTTTCACACATTTAAAATTAATCTTTTTTTAACAATCCTAGAAGCATATTTTTTCCATTGGCTTATTATATTTAAAAAAATTAACTTTTTTAAATACTGATTTAAAAACTTAAATTTTAGATATGATCTGTAAAATAATACTTAATTATGATAATGAATCTAACCCTAAGGTTCTTAAAATTTACCCTTTAGAAAGCAACAATGTTTTATTTCTTTGATATCATTGGTGTATAATTATGCTATCTTATCACGGAAAAACCAAAAGAAAAAGTAAAGCATATGACATGTCAAATTCAATCTCAATCACCATAAAATCTTATAATATGATCAGTATCCTCTAGATGCATGATGGTGATTGATGCAATGGTTTCTTTTGTTTAGAATTCTCGCATTTTGTTGAGTGGAAAAAAAAGTAATTACAACTTTTATAGAGTAAAAGTATAATTTTGTTTTAAAATTAAAATTGTGTTTATTATTTTCTATAATATGACAAATACTGGAATAAAGTGCATATTTTTAAACCATATAAAAGTTTTTTTTTTTAATTTATAAGGGAGTTAAGTTTTGCCTAAAAAATTAAGCGCAAGGCAGCTGCAAACCTGCAACAAAGGAGACTTGGGAACGTGGAGACGATCGACTCTTTTTCAGTCTGTGTGTTTGGGAGAAGAGAGAAATAAATTAGAAAAAGGATTCTTTGAAAACCGAATAAAGGAAGCAAAAGAGTGGAAAAATTTTACTCTAAATGCATGACAGTGGAAGCTTCCATTTTTATTTTTGGGAGTTGTTACTTAACCTCAGGTTTTGCGACAAGAAATAGAAGCATTTTGTCTTTGCTGTCCCCTCATAATGTACAGTTAATATATAGATTGAGTTCCCTAATATTTAATATTAAAAAGTTCTTTTGCATTTTTCCTTTTTTTAAAAAAAAAAAAACTTTTTCATTTTTCTTCTTTCACTATAAATTTTTATTTTTTATCCCCCACTAGGTTGTTTTTTTTTTTTTTAATATAGTAATTGCATTGTTAAACCTAAACTATAGATTAATCATTATTGAATTGTACGTAAGGCACAACATAACGACTGTGGCAGTGGCACATACACGACAAAGTCAGGCTATTGTGTCCGTCTATTCAACAGCGTACTGATAACAGATGGTTATTTCCTATTTGACGGAATCTGGAAGTGAATACATTTAATTGGCAAGTAGTACAAAATTAAATTTCAGTTAAATATGTTTTTTTTTAATTTATATATTAAACGTGTATTTATTGTATTTTTATTATTAAATTATAAAAAAATAATAAAATTAAACTTAATTTTTAACATTAGGATGATTTAATTGAATAATTAATAAAAAAAGTTAATTTTTTATTTTATTTATATAAATTAATAATAAAAATATAAAATAAATATATTTTTATCTTATACCCTATATTTGAATGGTTAAAAAATTATTTAAATAAATCTATTTAAACGTGATATTTTGAATGATGTGGGCATGATAGAGTTTGTTTTTCGTGGGAATCGATCATTGTTGTTACTTCGGAGTGGTCAGTTAGGTGCTGCTTTTTAGCAAGCATTAATTAGACCAACACAGGTTCTTGTCTTATGATAAGAAAGTGGAAATTGGCTGGGATGTTGCATGGGCAGCGGTAGTTTGGACAGTGTGGCTTACTAGAAATGACATGCTATTCAACAGTAAGACTAGATGAGGGAAGGATTATTGAGCGTTGTTAAGTTAAGATCTTATTATTGGATAAAGGTTAGGTCAAAAGATTGTAAATTTAATTTCACATGTTTGAGTTTTAGATCTAGTGAGATGCATGAAACAACTATACTTGTAACTTGAGATTGTTCATTTAATAGATTGAGATACCCTTTGTACTCTACAAATTTTTAATAAAATTCACTTTTTTTTGTTCAAAAATAAAAGTAAAAATACAATCTTAAAAATGCATATTAATATCTAGAGTGTATATAGATCTAATCAAATAAATTATACCCACACACACACTTTACTAATAGTCATCATCAGCCAAGAAGATTAAATTGGTTCGCTGACAATGGAATAAATGAGTAGCGGTGGGTAAAAATCGGTTTTAGTTGAAATCGAAATTGGTTTTAAATTAACCAAAAAAAATTTTCTTCAATTTTGAGAACCAAAATTGAATCAAATTTTTCACCAATTGATTGGTTCAGTTACCAATAAAATCGATTATTTTATATTTGATTTTCGTTTTTATCAAATAAACATTAATCTATTTTTTTCTCAATAATAAATTATATTTCATGTCATATTTTATCATATTTTGTTATGTTTATCTAAATTTTAATTTTTAGGAGGCTCATTTTAGTTTTCAATTAATGAAAAATTTAACCGAAACCAAATCAAAATTTATTCGATTAATACCAAACTAAAACAGTAAAACTCAAAAACCATTAAAACCAAACTGAATTCATTTTTCCAATTCGATTTCTGAGTAACCATTCGGTTACCCACCCCTATAAATGAGGGCATAATGCGTTGAATTCTTTCATTACGTACACATGTACGAAAACATACCAATTCTACTCTTTTTTGTTGGAAAATTTTGGTCTACAATGTTTATCATCTCTAGTAGTAGTCCAACCAACTAAAGTAGGAAGAATAATTGATGGCATTGCATGTGCGCCGGAAAATTCTGCCATTGGTGGCACTTGGCTTTATGACAAAGAATAAGAGATAGTTGATGAGCTTGTTAAATTCAGATCCTATTTTTGATTGAGAGCTAATATAATTGTATGCCAAATTTGTCTGTCGAGGTTTGGAAATTTAACCCAAAGGCAAGCAGAAAGGCAATGCTATGTATTAGGCTATGCTATAGATGTCTGATTAAAAAGTTGCTAGCAGAGGGATATAAATGGGTTTGGTACACCTTGTACCCTAGAAATATAATATTTTTCGCTAATAAAAAAAAAGGGCACTTAGCTTTTATGTATTTTGATTAATTTTGCCTGATGATAATACAATTAGTTTTCTCTTTTTATATAATTTTTTCCTCTAAATTAAAGATATAGTCATATAAATACAATTTATAGAACAATAAGTTTAAAGTAAAATAAAAATATTGTAACATTTTATAGGATATCTCACACATAATAAAGCTGAGTCCCCACCACACCCCTGTAACTTTTTTTTTTTTTTAACCAAACTCTATATAGGATCGATCATGCTTCATAAAAATGTGGCATTCACCTTCCAGCCCACTACCACAAAAACAAGCAGCAGCAGCAGCTTAGCATCACTAATTAGTAATACGACTCCAACGCAATTGCTAGAGATTACTAGAGATTAGAGACAGACACCAATTACTAGGGATTACATAAACAATTGTTACAAGAAGCAAAAAGACTTAAGAGAACTATTTAATTGTGCATTCAAAACTTATTAGAAGTCTCATTTGATACTTCAATTTCATTGTTAGAGCTTCTTTTTTCTTCTGTTACTAGAAGTATTACACTTTGTTTTTGCTAACGTAGTTATAACTTCGTTTTTGTTTGATTATTCTATTTATACAATTAGAGTATTTTTATTTAGTTGTCACATTTTCTCTATTTTCAAAATACATTAAATACTCTATTTCAAATCTATAATTGCATATTACTCTTATCATTGATACTATAATAGAGAAGCCTTTATTAGGGATAAATGAGGTATTCCAGCTCCTAATCATTACATTTTTATGGTTGTCCGTACATGTTATAAATGCATTTATTTTTGTTAATTGACATGAAAGAAAAAAATTAAAAGTTAATATTAATTTGAACAATTATCTTATTAAATTCATCCAAATGGAAATAATGTTAAAATTAAATATAGTTTTAGAATTTTTTATGTAAATTAATATTAAAAATATACAATAAATACATCCATAACTTATAACATAAAAATTTTTATTTTTATTAGTTCTCAAAATTGTCTCTATAAAAATTAAAAAAAAAAACTTGTTTTAAGATAAATGTATTTCAAGATCTAGTCATTATATTTATAATTGTAAAGACCAAGTTGGGACAACTAAAACGGAACAAAAAAGACCCATGAACGGATGGATAAGTTAGCAAGGAATTCTTTCAGTTTAATCAGAGATTTTGATTTCAAATTTTGATAATGCAGTTCCGTTAAGCTTGTAAAGGAGAGTTTTACCGCTCGTTGGGTCCTACCCGACTCGAATCTGAATTTAATTAGTAATCTAGTGGACTTTTAGATATCGAGTGATTCATAAAAAAAAAAACAAAAAAGAAAAAAGAAGAAGAAGAAGAAGATATTACGAAGGTTTTTTTTAAGATACATCCACCACGTTGATTACATACAGAACTGAGAGAAGTAGAGTCCAAGTTTGTTTGTTTGTTTTTTTTTTCTTAAACAAGGTATTATGAAGGTTTGAAATCAGTTCCAAAAAGAGAATCTGAACCTTTGTAAAGAGACAAAAACCACTCCGCCCAACGAATTAGGTACAAAG